GTTCCTTTGGAGAGCAGTACTGCACTTGTTTTTCTAAGAGGCAATACTATGGATTATCATTTGCTACTAACTTAAAAAAAGGGATATAAACAAGTGCTTGGAGTGGCATATTAAGAACTGCAACTCCTCAGCCTTGCTGTCTGCTCAGCTTTGCCTCTTAAGTCTTTGGGCAAATAACATTAACCCTTCCCCATCTCACACTACAAACTTGTGAAGCATTCACTCCCACCTGAGTGCTGAGTTTAAATATGCATTTTTAAAGTGCTTTGAGATTTGCAGGCATGCCTTACTCTAAAATGGTAGATATCTTCTAGACAGATTCATGGGCTGTGAAGTATCAAGGAAGAGAGCAAACACTGAGGAGCCAGCAAAGCTAATACTTATAGCTTGGCTACGCTGGGGACTCCTACAATTACAGTTTGTTCTTTTGATCATCCTCTCCAAACACACAGAAAATGTCACTCATTCTCACAGCTGTTCCTGTGCTCATACTCTCCCAAAAAGACCACTGATGTCACTGAGAGCCTAGCTGCCTCAGGGTGACCCAGACAGGGCCATGGCAAGGCCCAAACTCCTTAAGATTTTCTCCCAGATTCCCATGCTAGCTGTTCCTTGTGAAATGGGAACAGAAGCAGCCCGTGAGCTGTTAGAAGCAGCAGTTGGGACCTGGAGCTCCTTGGGACTCTCACTTGACCGTGAATAGCTTCTTCTAACCAAAACTACTCTTTCTTCTCAGTTCATATTACATGAGCACTACCCTATACAATATTCAAGCAGCTTTTTAAGAAGTGCTGACAGTAATGAGACTGGCTGTTCTGCAGGGCAGGCAGGAGAAAGCCCTTCAGCCACTCACATCCCCCCCTCATATCGCAGCACAAAAACAGGTAACAGGCTCCCTAAAATGGTGGCTGCATCCATCTCACAGCTTCTCCCACCGAAGTCACAATGCTTGCCTCATCCTTCACCTCATCCCTCCTTCACATCATTTCAGTGCAGCAGCAACTGCCCCCACATTAATCCAGCCATACCTGGCTGCCTGGCTGTGCTGGAGGAATGGGATGGGGTGGGCAGTAGAGTGCTCAGGCAGAAAAGGTCTCCTTATTTCAGATGGAAGTATCCTGATTTATACAATCAGAGACAAACGCATAATCAACCTTGCTCTGATTAATTGTTGTGGAAATGGTAAAGAGCTATCAATGCAGCAACCAAGAGAGCTTAAAATTAAATATAACCTGCAGGAGGAGAAGAGAGGATGAGTCTTTGAAAACACTTCTCTGAAGCGAAACAGGAATCTATGGGAAGTTTCCTCTCCTCTCCCCAGTCCTCCAGCCTGTGCAGTGAAATGGGAGCTCCTGCCTTCCCAGATAGAAGTGCTGCTCGCCTACGTAGGATGAACAGCTGGGACCATCCTGCTATCACCTCCCTGCTTTTCCTCACCGCTTTAAAATTAGCATCACTGTGATCAGGTGGCAGCAGAAGAAATGCTCACCCACCACTTGCCATTGCATTCAGAGCTGATCACTAAAGCAACACTTGCCTCCAGGAGCTGGGGAGTTTGCAACACCTCATATCACCACCAGCCCAGGGCCAGGGCTCATCACAAGAGCAGAAGGCTCTCACCCATCCAGAGAGCTCCCACTGCTGCTGCTGGCACCCTGGCATGTCTGCCTGGGCTCGCTCTGGCTCTTGGTGTGAAGCAGCCGGGGAGACAGAAGTGACTCTACAGACATAAATAGCATAGCCGGTCTGAGCTGAGGAAGATGATTCAATGAGATATTTTGGTTGCATTTTTATGAAGGCAGCAAGACTTTCCAAAGAAGGTATTTTTAGTGGGTTGAGACCCATGATACTGATCAGTAGGCACAGAAGTTGCCAGTGCCGGAAACCTGTAGAGTAAAAACGCTTTGAGGGAGTACCCAGACAAAGTGTGAAGTACAAGCCAGAGAAGAGCTTCTTGTAAATGTGGAGCTCTAGCAACTTCCTTGAGCAAATTTTACGCAGAGTACTCAGCAACACGAAGTGTCCATTCAGCCCTTCCTGGCTCATCCTGATAAATGCTTCATTTCTGGTTTAACAGCAAATTGAAATTGATTAAGCCAGCGTTGATATTGTCCTACAAGTTACAGAGAAGCTAAATTCATTTGGGATAAATCCCAAGAAAGAGCAACACTCATGCATGCATACGCACACGCTATTTAAAATAGGTTCATCTGGGATGCATAAAACCTGAAATAATGTTCATTAGGACTGGGAAAGGAAACAGTATTAATCAGCTCTAGGCTTCTTGTTACTCAGCGGAAGAAAACTTCAGCCAGATAATTTTTTAAACACACATAAAATCCCAAAAATTTTCCTTGGAAGAATTACCCAGCTAACTTGCCATAAATATGAGGAGGTGGCAAAAAGGCAAATGAAAGGGGTTGGGGGCTGGAGTATTATTATTTTTTAATTTGCATTCAACAGGAGAAAGATTTATGCATGAGATGCAAATTGCTATGCGTTATTTACACATCTGAAGAAAAACAAATCTTGAATGTAAATGCTTAGAGGGCATATTTTTAAATATGAAAGTGGTAAAATTATTATAATGTTTATAACTCCCACACTGTTTAAAAGAGATTAAATTGGGGAAAAATGAGCCCTTTTATTTAAATTATAGAGTCCTCGCCAAATATTAGGGTAGAAATCAAATACAAACATCTGTGTGTTTCCATTCTTGAGAGTCTTTCAGAGCAATTTGTTCACCTTGCAGTTGGTCCTATCCAGAATATCCCAGTGGGTTACCAACTGAAGGGGGCAGTGGCCATTTACAGTGTTTCTGTTTCCATCATGAAACACTATGTATGCCTTCACAAAATAAAGAAACAGGAATACCTTTATAAAACCAACTCCAGCTCCAAAAAGCAGTCCAGCTCAGGTGGTGGGATATATATGACTTGCAGTAGACCACTCCTGAGAATGAGGTGAATAGAATCATCATAGAATAGTTAGGGTTGGAAAGGACCTTAAGATCACCTAGGTCCAACCCCCCTGCCATGGGCAGGGACACCTCACACTAAACCATGCCACCCAAGGCTCTGTCAACACGGCCTTGAACACTGCCAGGGATGGAGCATTCACAGCTTCTCTGGGCAACCCGTTCCAGTGCCTCACCACCCTTACAGTAAAGAACTTCTTCCTTGTATCCAATCTAAACTTCCCCTGTTTACGTTTGAACCCATTACCCCTTGTCCTATCACTACAGTCCCTAATGAAGAGTCCCTCCCCAGCATCCTTGCAGGCCCCCTTCAGATACTGGAAGGCTGCTATGAGGTCTCCACGCAACCTTCTCTTCTCCAGGCTCAACAGCCCCAGCTTCCTCAGCCTGTCTTCATACAGGAGGGGCTCCAGTCCCCTGATCATCGTCGAGGCCAACTGCCCGCGCTGTTCCAGCCCTCCCTAGGGCGGGTTTTCCCTGCTAAGGGCGGTGCCAGACCGCCCCCTGTGAGTCCCTGCTCGCCTCAGCGGAGCTGCCGGCTCCTGGGCAAGGTCTGGGGGCTGCTCGAGGGTCCCGTGGTGGCTCTCAGCTCTCAGAACTGAGGCTCCTGCACGCTGTGTTTGCCCTCACTCCGATGCTGAAGGCTCCTCTCTGGAGCTGCTTACCTCGGGAAATGGCCCATGTAGAACTGAAGTCTGCCGTGACAGAGCAAACAGAGCTAAGAGACCAGTAAGAAAACAGCAAGAATGAGAAAAAGATGAGGTGAGAGCAAATGATGGCTCTTAGAAGATCCAGCACTGCTTATTTAATGCATATCCACTGAACTGTTTTACAGTTCTCTTTGGAAAATATGAAGGATCTCTAATATGCTAGCACTGCTCAATCATTCATGTATTCACTTCTGCAGGGGGAAAGCTATTATTTCTGTTTTTACCAGGAGAAAATCAAGGTAATAAGACCTGGGTTATCAAACCCATTTACATGCTTGACTCCAGCCAGCTTCTAAACTCTTTGATTATCTACACTGCAGATACTCATTAAAAGGCAAAGAGATTTAGTTGTCTTCATGTCCTTGCCACTTCTGAACAAGTGACTCACAATGCAGCCAACCTCAGGGGCTCAAAAGTCATGGGACTAGACTCCATAAATAACCATTTTAGCTTGTTTTTTTGACATTGTGAGAGTTGGATAGGGGCTACTGTTTTCCTTCATCTGCCCTTTGTGAGATAGACCTTAGAGTCACGTTTCTTTCCTCACAGCACATCTCCCTAGTGGGAATGCTATAGCAAGACCTGAGTACACTAAAACTGCTGTTCTCATAACACAGGGCCACTGCCCATGGCAATTACTCTCAAATAGCTCTGCCCATGGCACTGCATTCCATAGTAAGAATTCGAATCCAGGCCATGTCTGGCAGGAGGAGGAGCCTTCCAAGCACATGTTTCACAAGCAGAATCAAAACTTTCACAAAGAACACCAAAAACTTGTCAGAGAGCTCCTACCCATTCAATCAGGCCAGGGAATTTCTAGTCTGATTAAGAGTGGTCAAAATGAAACAAAACCCAACTGCTCCCTTTCTGAGTGTGAGTTCATAAACACACTAAAAACACGTGAGAAGGCATCTACTTTTCGCAGGCAGAGACTTGGAGCAGGTTTTCGTAGTTGTGGTTTTTATGGCTAGACACATGGCCAATTCACATCAGGTTTTTGTCGATATTTTAATATTTATGTCCAGATGCCACTGTAAGCTTCCAGATGTTTTTGCACAGACATCAAAAATGTTTGCATAGCAATTACAAAAAGAAAAGAAAGTTTGAGGCAGTTTTCAAAGAACTGAGAATGACAAAAGACAAAGTGGCTTTTGTTGCTAAAAGATTTCAAGACCATTTGTTCCTCTACTAACCAAAAGTAGAAGCCAGTCTATCTACTTGGACTGTCATAGTTAGGTGCTGCCTTGGAAAAAATGAAGTTTCTGATGCCAGATGATTCCTACATTTTCTAGCAAGTGCAAATAAGTAGATACCTTCGCGGGTCTCCAGAGGGTGATTTATCCATGTAACTCAAACACCCCTTCAGTCTACACTGACTATATAAGACTCTAGATATTCCTGAGATTTAAACCACAAACATTTCTTTGCCATAGAGACTGAAGGAGTAGGAGCTGCTGGGCGCTTGCTGCCCTTGGGATCAGTCCTGAAGCAGTGGCGATGTGCCTTCCTGTGTGGTGTCACAGCACAGTCCCTCAGGACACCTCACAAACACCCTGGGGAAGGAGGTGGAGGTGAGTTGCCTGCCCATCTCTGCTTTGACTGCACCCCAGCACTGGCGCAGGGAAAAGTGCCTGTTGCACCAGAGCACCTGCTTCCAAGCAACTAAAATAGAGCCACCAGAACACATTCAGGCTAATCAGGAAATTTTCTAATGCTTCCAAGCATTTGCAGGGAAAGGACTCCTGGAAAGTCAGTGGGCTGGACTGCAGATAGGGCTTCTAGGTGAGATGGAGTCTGGGTAGGGGTTAGGTGAGCCTAAACCCTTCACAAGTTATCTGTGCTCTGGCAGTTGTAAGACAACTTCATGCTTCCCTGTGTTTCTGTATGTGTTGGGGAAAAAAACACCCAAAAGCAAACATAATCCAAGTGCCAAGTGTGGAGAAAAGAAGCAAAACCTTTCTTGATGTTGGTAATTGTATCATATGCTCAGAACAACACAGTGAAAAAGGAGCTATGTTAGGCAAGAGTGAGAAGATGACTGAGAGGAGGGATTTGTTTAGCACCAACACTCAAAGTGACAGTCTGGATGCCAAGTCCAGTTGTTTCTGGGAGAGAAAACAGGCTTTCTCCCTCTTTGTGCACTCCGAGTACTTGCTGAAACACATATTTTGTCCAACAAATAACCAATGGGAGTTTTGTCAGCAAGTTCAATGGGCCAGGATTTTTCTTTGGCTAGGAATGGGTGGGCAGGCTCCAGCAGCAGTATCAGTCCACTCATGAACTGGAGTGTCCCTGGATTTGCCATAGAGCTCTGCGGAGACAGGGGTGGGTGGCAAACGTCACTGCATGAGTTATATTTGTATAAAGCCAGCTACAAGTGAAATTACACCATAGTCTACTTAGGGAAGGATTTTTCACTGAGAAACAAATATCAAAGTGTGAGAATGTTTATCAGTATTTTCTGCAATTGACCAAGGGTTGGAAGCATAGATTTACACCCTAGACAGCAGTGTGAAGTAGAGATAGCCAACTGCTTTAAACTGGCTTAGATACCAGAGGAAATATATCTGCAGCAGTGTTATTTCAAACCACCACTCAGTTAAAACTAGCTGAGCGTCTCCTTCAGTTACCTTGTAACCTGCAGTATATTCTGATGCTATAAGGTGAAGAAAAATTGCAGAGAGGAAACAGCTGGGAGAACATAAAGTAAATTTAGAATTATTTTTCAGAAAAATATATCAGAACTTGGTGGAGAAATGATTTCCTAGGCACAACAGTCCTAGTCTCAGCACAACTCTTTAGCACAAAAATTATCTAAAAAGCAAAACAAAGGAAAAAATAATCTGATTAGCATCATGAAATCCATGCAGCCATTACTCAGCACTGCTACTGCCAAATGTCTTCCTGAGTCTGTAAAACCAAGCACAACTCCAAATGTAATATGCAACCTTTAAAAGGCAAAACAAAACTAACGAACATCTGAAAACTGTCTCTCAGGTCTTTAGCTGCCGAGAATCACTATGGTTTCCTTTACTCCAGTGGAGCAATGCTCATATACGTCAGCTCAAAAGCTGTACTGAGTTGCACCAGTCATTATACCCACTGGAATAAAGGAAGCTCCTAGGACCAGACCACAGCCCCTCCTGTAACTGGTGATTCTCAGGCAAATCAGCTGTCTTACCTATATTATCTACCCCAAAATTTATGTGCTACATCTTGCACATGTAGCCACCCCCTGGAAGCTGTACTTACTGTAGTCACTGCTAGCAATAACTATGAAACTCCATTTTATGATTCTCAGCAGCAGAGCCACATAATTATGCTGTTCACCTTTTGTTGCTTGGCATTTGCTGATGATTAGCCCAGAGTTAAGATGACATATTTTTTCCATAGCACCAGATCAGAGCAAGGTGTGTTTTCTCTCTGTTTATTACAATTATTTTTTTACCTTCCCTGGAAACATCAGTCTTTGATCACTGTTAAGGACTGATTAATGAGCAAGATGGACTTTTGACGTCCTCTGGGAAGGCAATTCTTATTATTTTTCAATGGTGACATCTGCATTCCACTTTAAGGGCCTCTTTCATCACACAGTAGTGGCCAACAGACAGGTCCTGGAAATCTTTATTTGTCATATGGGAAGCAAGACAAAACTTTACCTAGTCATATAACACTACTCTGCTTTGGTCTTTCCAGTGCTCCCTATTTGTCATGGCAAGCAGTGTTTGACAACGGCTCAAATGCAGGGGATGTGCACGTGCAGGGAGCCGACAAAATCATGGGAATAATTCATTTAGTCATGTTCTTTTCCTGTGTTTTGTAGTGTTTCTAATAATGAACAGGTTTTTATCAATGAAAAGTAAGTTGCACTTTAACGTCAATAACCACGAGATTAAAGCGACTGGAGTTCCTTTAAATAAAGGACACCAAGGACGTATGGGACTCATCTTTAGTGGTGCATCAGATTACCCCAGCTCTTCCTCCCCTTTGACTTTGCCAATTCTAATCAGGAGGGTGGTGATAAAAGAGGCTGAGGCGTACATGGTCTGGTACAATAAAGCTGCCTGGAGAGTTGCATGAAAGAGGGGAGCCACATTTCTAGGCTGCAACTGAGAATCAAGTCTCTTGATCAGGAATATACCCCAGCTGTATCAAAGCACTGGTGTCTCTCTTCTGTACTGTGACTCTCAGTGGTCATTCAACTGTGTCTAGCATTTGGGGTCACTGTGCAGGAGAGTGTGAATGCCTGAGGTACAGCCTAGGGCACAGTGGGTCAAGAGGAAAGGAACTATGCAGCCCTCTGTTACAGCCCTGTGTGATTTGTCTCTGATTTTTTAACAGCTGCAAAAAGGCATTTCAAAACTTCCAAACAGGAAAAAAAAAAAAAAGAAAACCAAGAAAGAAAAAAAAAAACAACAAACCCAACTTTAATTGCAAATAGTGGCATAAAAGCTGTGGCATTCAGTCAGCCTTTTTCCACCGGGTAGTAACTTTACTGGCTGTTTTTAAAAACTATTGCCTTGCTCTGTTAGACTCAATACCTGTCACATGATTAATGTGCTGGTGTCTTATTAACTCTTGTGTTAGAGGTGCTGCTGTACTCACACATCCCCCCTTCTCTCCCCCCTTTTGCAAAAACCTCATTGCACTCCTGCTGCTCTGACTGGAGGGTACTGCACCTTCCGACAAAACATCATAAAGAGCAAAGAATTACTGTTTCCCACTAATCCAGGCCATAAATCAACCCTCACGTTTTGTTCTGAGAATGGTGAGGGACTGCATAAGTGCTTCCTGTGTTCACATTCACAAGACAGGCTGTGTCTTCAAAAAGAAGAAAGGGAAAAAAGAAAAAGGAGGGGGAAAGAAAAACCAGGAATGGCCAAATTGTTCCGGAGTCTGATTGATCTTATCTGGACCTCCCTTGCTGCAACAATAATTTGAGGCTGTCGAAAATTGCCACCTTATCTGATTGGTGGTCTTACCAGCTGCTATTTTATCAGGGCCCAGCTGGATGAGGAAAGCAGGACGTGGCACAACCTTGGTATCTCAGCGCCTGACCTCAATATCTAATCAGTCAGATGTCTCGCTGAGGCTGCCTTGGGATGCTGTGCATGTCCCCTCCGGCACCAAGTCTTTCAAAAGACATTTGCTTCACGCTGGTGCTAGCCCACCAGCACACACACACACACAGAAAAAAATACACACACAGAGCATATTCCAGCATGTCACCACCTTGCCTGCTAGTGCTGTGGCACCTGAAAATTAAGGTGCTTTTCTGTAAAACTTCAACAGACTTGCTTCTGAAAAGCTTGGTTTGCAGAACTGCCACCAAGTTAGCAACATTTCAGTGTCCTGCTGGCATTGCAGGCAAGGCAAAGCCAGGCCTCCATCTCATCTCATTGGTCTTATGCAAGCTTTACAGTATATGTCAATCAGCACAATTAATGTCACCTATAGAATGTCATACTGTAGGCTCTGCCTCACAGCATGTTCTAGGAAAAGTATGGGTTTTGTTGCTTCAGAAGGGAATTTGAAGGTCAAAGTTTTTACCCCAGCTCTGATGGCCATTAGCTGCGTGACTGGGGAAAACCATTCCACCTCTTTGTATTCAGATATGGACAGAGAATTATACTTGCAAGCCCCTCATCATACCAAGGTCATACAGGGGATGTCTGTTAGCCCCAGATCTTTTCCCCAGTGCTGAAGGGGAGAAATTCTCCTTCCGATCCATTGGAGGGACTGCCCAGCACCTGTGGTCCTCTGCCCAAGGGAACAGTAAGCAGATCCACCTCCTGACCTTCACCAGCCCTGCTCTTCCTTTTCTCCTTCACACTAGGGCTGAAGGAGAGCCTCTAGTCATCCAGGAATGCTTCTGTGAGAAGTGCCATTTGGGGCAGGTCCCTGGGTCACTGCTGTCCCCTCCTCTCCTGTCTGCTCCGTCTTGATAGTGGTGAATGTTGCTCAAAACAGCAGTCATTGCCGCAGCTGTGCAATGCCCTGTTCAGCAGCTGTGGCATGAGCAGCATCTGAGGGAGAAGCCTGTGCTTGAGCCACCTGAGATAGCAGTAGACCAGCAAAGAAAAAGGCTGCAAGAAGTGAAACCTGATGCATAGAAAAATTAACCATCCGAGGAAGAGGAGAGAGCATTAACGTGTCATTTCTGAAAAAGAAGATTTTGATTTTCTATTTCAATATTATGGCTTTTAATTCCTTTATATGCTGACATTTATTATAAAGAATTTTTAAAAAGCTGAAATTAGAATCAAAGATTTTGATTCTGTTAAGACTTTGGTATGACCCTAATTTCCTTTTCTTTTTATGTTTTTCCTGGAAAATATTATAGCTTTATTTGTTCCTGCTCCATTTACAAAGAAATCCTCCACAACTGCAGAATTTCTCACAAAACAGCAACTTAATTCCTAACCAGTTCTGTCCATCAGTTGTGCTGCATTTAGTGACTACTAACAGAGGTCTTGGATATAACTCTTTGCACATTGTGGCCAGACACAAACCCTGGCATTTCTGCACATAGGAAGTATGAGAAAATGGTGGAAGTCTGATGCAGAAAGATGTCTCACACAAGCACTCACTATGCAGGTGAATTTCCCTGTGCAGTGTGTTGGGGCTACAGCAGGGAACCCAACCAGATTACAAATGTTAGGCAAACTGACGGACCGATACATTCCTTGGCCAATTCTTTGTTTGCTGTTGCTCTTCCATAGTGCCAAAATACTGAATTAGAATCATAGAATTATAGAATGGTTAGTCTT